TTGGTATTCCACTGTAGGAGTGTACTACAGTGTTTTTATCTAGTTTTCCCACCCGTAGGCATTTGGATTATTTTAGGTTTTTGCTATTCTTAATGCTGCTATCTCCTTGTATATGTTTCCTGGTACATGCATGAGTTCCATTAGGGTATACATATGCCTAGCGTTAAAACTGCCGGGTCACATACTATAAATAACTTTGACATTGGTAGGTAATGCCAAATAACTTTTCAAAGTAGTTGCACCAAACTATACTCTTATGAACAGTAAGAGCGTTCCCATTGTTCCACATCTCCCATTCTCACCAACACTTGGTGGGGTCAGACTTTTCAATTTTGAGGGTAAAGTGGTCTCTCACTGATTTTAATTTTGATTTCTCTGACTACCAATGAGTCTGAGATCTTTTTGTTTTTATTGGCAATTTGAATTACCTCTTTTATGATGGGCCTGTTCAGATATTTCGCCTGATTTTTCTATTGAGTTATCTGTCACCTTATTGACTTAAAGGAACTACTAGTTCATTTTGGTTATATGTGTTGTAAATAACTTCTCCAACTTGTAGCTTGTCTCATCAGTCTATGGTGTCTTTGAAGAGCAAAAAGTTCCTAGTTTCTCTAAAGAACAAAAAGTTCTTAATGTAGTTGAAATTATTAATATTTTTCTTTTTGGCTTCTGCTTTATATATAATTTAAAAACTCCCTACTCAAAATACATTCTCCCATAATGCCTTCTAAATGTTTTATACTTTGTGCTTCCACATTCTCCCCAGCCCCCATATTTTATAACCTTACAGACAATAACTAATGATTCATTATATTATTCTCACACTATATTTTAGCTGAGAAATATGAGATTAAGGAGGTAGGACTGAAAGCCAAGAAAATCAACAAAGTTTGCAAACTCAGTCAAAAATAATCAGATAACACACAGGAGACTTTAAGACACTCTTTTATTACCTACCCTCAAAATATCTCCTGCCAAGGTACCCCTACCTGGGCCCAGTTCCACCAGCTGGAAAGTTGCAGTTTTTCCAGTGGCCATCCATTCACTGATAAACCATATCCCCAGCAGCTGTGACAAGGAAAATCTTAAAGTATTATAAAGTATAGAAGTATACTGCAATACAAAACTCTATGTAAATACACACTTTATGCCAGAAATACATATGTATTTAATATGTACATATAGTATGCACACACAGGAACTTCACTGGGACTATATTATGACACTAGTTAGGAAAGTTAATAATAAGAGAACATAGTTAAAAGGCTGCCTCCACTATAAAAGGTCCATGACACAAATAAAAGAATATCACTTACAGAAAGGTACTAGTATTTGAAAGTTAGCAGACATATGAAATATATAATTATGCCATTTCTTCATATTTATATGATTTCAATAATTACATGGCTTTTAGGGAGTAGTATTTTACAAATGCCTGGATTCTACTTCCTCTTGTGTACTCTTTCCTATTTCTAAATCAATCAAAGGTTCTTATACGGAAATAAATGAACTAGAATTCCTGAAAAGAACTCAAAAGTTTCTTAAAGGGAGATTTCTACTGCAACTATGATTAAATCATAGTTGGGGGCTTGAGAGCTTATTTTGATTCCACTAATTCCTCAGTGTTCCTTTTTATGTTTCTCTCTTCCTACTGGGGTACTACCTACCTCTTCCGTCTCCCATTCTCATATTTCATCTGGTTTTTACATCTTTTTTTTTTTTTTACCTCTTATCTCTACATTTCCATTTCTATAGTAAAGTATAAACTTTTCAAATGTCCTCTGTACCATGTTCTTTCCTCTGTTGCCTCTCCATCCCCTCAGTATAAAACTACTGAAAAATAAAAACTTTTGATGAATCACAAAAACAAAACTGTAAAACACTATTAAAGAATAATGCATTTTGAGCTGACCTCAAATGTTTGTGATATTAGTTTCTTTTATAATTTACATTGGGTATTACCTCCCCAAACATCTGACTTATTTCAGGTGAAGTAATGAAATCTCCTTTTTCACCTAGCATGTCACGGTGCACATAATATCCCTAAATAAAAAGAGAAAATGGAGAAAACAAATTAATTTTCAAATAAGGCTTTTAAACCATTCTCCAAAATATTACATAATGTATACAATGAAATAAAAACTATGTAGTAAGAAAGTTCTCTTTTCTAAATAAGATAAACACAGTATCTTTACTTATTTTTACAAAGTAACAGTCATTTTGCAGAACTGGTAGGAAAATAATTACTCTAATTATAAAGGCAGAGGCCATGCAATGTCTCTCTCTACATTCCATGCCCTTCCTCCCTCCCCTGCTCCCGAAACTGAACACAGCATGACCCTGCCTACTCCTCCAGCACTCTCCCCCAAATTCTCACACTTTCTGTTTCAAATTAGCCTCTCCTGTTGGTGTTATCTTTCTCCACCTGGGTGCTAGTTACATGGAGTGTTCACTTTGGGAAAATGCATCAAGCTGTACACTTGTGATTTATGCATTTTTATATGAACGTTATAGCTTAGTAAATAGTTTTCATCTTTTTTAAAATTAGGCCTGCTTGTCCACACATCCATGCTTTTGCAAATACCCTCCCTTATCCTTTCCCATTTCTCCCTGACAATCTTATACCCATCCATAGAATCTGCAGAAATGCCACCTTCTCTGACCTCCTCCTTTTCCAGCCCTTCAACCTCAGACTAAATCCAGTGCTTCCTTTTCTGAGCTTATTTATATGTCTGTTCTTCACCAAATAGTTATTTGGGGGAGAGAACTATGTCTTATTTACCTTCATAGCCCAAGTTTTAGCATAATATCTAACGAAGAGACACTCAAGAATTGTTGGTTTAAAAATTCCCTATGGTCCTTATGCCCCTTCTCTACCACCTTACTCTTACCAAGTGATCTGAGCTCCTGCTCACACAGGAATTAAAGAATGTTATTAAATATGACTCCCTCAACTTTCTGACCCCTCCTGGCCTCCACCTGCTCCCATTCTTTCCTAGGGACTCAAAAAATGAAATGCCTACCCCTTCTGTTTTTATCCAAACCTGTTCCCTCCACCTGTGCTTTGGACTGATCACCATTCCTCACCCAACTCTCATGGGCCAGGATCTTTTTATCATCTCCTTTCTCTCACAGCTTCAACTTTTCCTTCTCAGCATTAGAAATATAATCAAGTCACTCCCATCTTAAAAAACCTTTTTTTCACTCCACACAGCATCCCCCCTTCAGCCTTTCTCTTTTCCCTCATAAGTAACTATTTTAGGGGTGTTTTGGGAGTGTGTGATGAAACTTACAGACTCCTTTATAGAATGTTTTTAAATGCACAGGACTTAAAACACACAGGATTACAAAATATATCAATTGAAAAATACTTATCAAATATTTAAAAATAAATTTGTGATACAGTAATATATATACTTCTTTATACGTGTATTAAAAAAACAAAATTGAGCCAAAAGTCTAATAAGTAACGAAGTTTTGAAGCACGGATGAACACAATGGTATTGTGAGATACCTGTAATCGGTTACTCTGTGGTGATAGGACAGTATCAGTGATTTACACTGACGCTAACTAAAGTCACAGGTGTTGCTGATGCTACTGGTTGTTGCCTATGTTCATAGTTAAGAGAAATGCTACATTTCATTCAGAAGTTAATGAAAATATCTGCCTTTCCTAAACCTCTGGACACCGGGCCACTCCACCACATCCAAGAGCAGCAACAGGCCAAACCAACCCCAGAATTCCACAGATCTCATATTTCAACCCTGCAAAAGATGCAACATTCAAAAATAAAAGGACTACAGGCTTTCACCAAGAGGCTTTGTAAAGCAAACAAGGAAAACACAGGTCAGAAAGTTGTGACGTTTAATCCTAGAACAGTCAAGACCCAGATGGTCCCTGCTCAAGAAAAAAACCCAGAAGACGCTTCCAGTGCCTGCTGAAGCCATCCCAATACAGACAACTTTCCAGGCACTACGTTCTTATTTCCAGTCGCCTAGGGATTTCCACTTGAGGGTCCCATATAACCTTCAAATTAACATGCCCGGCTGAACTGTTTATCCTTCCTCCTCCTCCAGGCCCTTCTTCCAGAGAAATGATGGCCCACCTACCTACCATAAACGCAGGTAGGGAAGTCGTCCTTCCCTCATAAATCAAACAGGTTGTTCCGCTGTCTCCGGAACACCTTTGGGACTTGTGACCTTCTCTTTAATGGCACCGGCGCAAACTTGATCCAGCCCTGACCAACGGACAGATTAATTTATCCGTCCCCAAGTCTTCGGGGTGGCTGTTGCCCTGGTGGGCACCCCGACTGCCTGGGGTAGCGACGCTCTGGCTCTTCCAGGCGCACCCCTCCAGGCGCACCCCTCGCGAATCTGCCAGCGAGGCCCTGGCCGTCTGGCCCCCGACCCATACCTTGGCTGGGTTGGTCAAGACCTCCTTCATGTACTCGGCTACCGTGATGGGGCCAGTAGACTTGATTTTGTACATGAGATGCCGCAGCATCGGAGTCACCGCGTTGTTTTCTACCGGCTCTTTCCCGGAGCTGAAGTATTTCCCTCTCCAAAGACATGGAATGACTGCGAGAAGCACACGTCACAGGACCCATTAAAAAGTTTAGTATTTACACATGCGTAGCAGTGTGAGCGCTTTCCAAGCGGCTTCATGCGCCCTTAACCTCGCCCGACGCCGAAAAGCGGACTCCTGTCCACGGCACGCACTTGGCCCACGACCTCAGCCATTTTCTGTCTGAGGCCCAGAGCGCTCCCGGGGCTCCCACGCGGTTCCCACGGCAACCGGGGTTCCGGTGGGCGGAAGGGGATGGTGAACGCTTACCCGCGCGAGCCGCGGCGCTCAGCAGCCCCACGCCGGCCTTCCCGAGGACTCGCATTCCGAATTTCCCACACTGGCGCGCGCTGCCCGGGGCGGGATTACATCAATTTCCGGAAGAGGACACCACACCCCCAACCAACACCTGCAGGAAACACGTCACCGAGCCAGCCGGAAGGAAGCTGCGGACCGTCCGCGCGTGCTTTGCTAATCATGGCGGCCGCCAAGAAACCTTTGGAGTTTCATGCCAAGCGGCCCTGGGGTCCTGAGGAAGGGGTGGAAGACCCGGACGAGGATGACGAGGGTGATAACGATGAAACCGAGAATGGCTTCTCCCTCGAGGAAGTGTTACGGCTCGGAGGCACCAAGGTAATGGCCTTGGACTCCCGGAGAAGGGGGACAAAGGCGCGGAAAATGGTCCCGCGCGTGGCGCGTGGCGGGACTAATGGCCCGACCGCTCCCGAGTTGTGGAGTGGGAGGGCGTACTGCACTCAGACCCTGGCTTCGAAATGTGCACTGTACGCTTCCCGCACTTATTTCCCACTGCTCTTTGCAAGGGAAAAGTTTAGAATTATATGTTTGTATGCTGTGGCCTTATTTAGAATGTAGGTATTCCTCTCATTCTATTGACGTACTATAACAGTCACGCCTCCATCAGTCGGACAGGACTGACTTTTTTTGGTCCTTACTTCGTGGCATCAGGGTTTTGAACTCCCGTGGTGTTGGGATTCTAATTCTGTTTTCACAGAATATGCGCGCTTGGTCCCTGTGCGCACAAGAAGCGCTCTGCTCCCTTGGAATTTGCATCCTAATTAAAGGAAAAAAACTAACCAAACTTTTGAATACGTAGTATGTCAGACGCTGAAAAGTGCTATGGAGGAAAATAAAACAAGGAAGGAGGGGGATACGGAGTAAGCGGTCACAGTTTTAAATGAGGTGATCCGGGAACCCATCACTGATAATGTTTGAACAAACACCTGAAGGAAAGAAAGGAGTGAGCCATGTTGCTCCATGAACAACAAAAACGTTAGTGTGGTTGAGGCAGAGTGAGGTGTAAGGGGAGAGTAGTAAGAAAAGATCAGAAGTAGGAATGTGGGTTTTTGCTCTGAGTTTGACCAAACCATTAGAAGATTTAGGGCAAATGTGACAGAATTTGGTGTTCTTTTTTAAAATATTGTTTTGAGACCACTCTTGGGTTAGGTAGGAATTGAGGCAGGAGAAATACACCTTACAGGGGCAGATTCACAGTTTGCTCTGTACTTG